TGAGAAAAGAAGTCAAATATGACGGCTGAAATAGTAAAATAATGGTCAAAAAATCAATTTTTTTGGTGAAAAAATCGGGCCCAAACAGGCTCTAAGTCTATAAATATGAATGTAGTGGTTCTCCCTTGAGACTGAGCTCAGCACACTTCTTCCTTTTTTTTTTTTTTTTTTTTTTTTTTTAACGAGGTCTCCCAGCTTGCGCCAGACTATATATCGTCGTCCCTGAACCTCCGGCCCCTCAGCTGCTCAGGGAGGTAAATCGCAGAATGTGCCCTTAGTTTCTTGACATTCTTTGTTATGCTTCGTGTGGTTTGTGAGAGATTCACCATGTGGGTGATACTCTTGTAAATTCTTGAGTAGAATTTTGATTGCTGTTAATCAATAACTGTTATCCTCATTTGTGAGTAGTTTTTATACCATTGTGGGATAGCAGAGTGAGTTGGGAGGGAGAAATCTTTTGAACATTTGGTATTCCTTTGTAATCGATATTCTTGCTTGTTTTTGGGCTGTGTTAGTGGATTAGATAGCTATCGCTAAACCTCCGGGGCCTGTGGCCGAAAATTCTCGTGTGTTCTTTTGATTTCTTACGTTTCTTTTAAACAAAGTTGGGTCACAAATTTGGGACCTACAATGGTATGAGAGCTTGAAAACCCTTTGATTCATGTTCAAATTTGGTTTTAAAACTCGATTTGGTTCTGGTCGACTCTTCTGTTTTAAAGAAAACGTCAGATTTGAGACAATTTGTTAATATTCCTTAAAGAAATTTCTTGATATGTACTTGAAGTTGCTTTGGGAGTATTCTTGAGTATTCTTTCATGTTCACACTTCTGGTAACAAGTTTCATAACCCTCTCTGAAATTTCGAAATGGGGAACCTATGAGAATATTTTTTTATTTTTTAACAAAGGATTCCTGAAAACCTCCCTAAATTTACCTTTGTCTAGGGATCCCTGAGAGAACCCTAGAATTTGAGGGAATTAGGGTTTTGGTTTAAGGAAATTCAAAATTTTCAATGACTTTTTGAAGTTGATATTTTGCTACTTTGTGTGTGTGTGCTATAATATCTTAACTGGTTTTTAAATTCACATACCTGTTTTGAAGTGCTACATGGGCCTTGTTTGAATCCATTAATTTGGAAAAATGTATTATGAAATAGTGAATGATGGAGAATGTGTGGTTAAAAAAGAAGGATTTTTTTTTTACTTATGTTTAATATTATTTTAATGAAGAATGTGTGGTTAAAAATGAGTAATGTAGAAAAAATTATGGGAAAGAATTTTAAGTAAAGGATGACAAACGGGAGCATATTGTTAACTTTGTATTGATACTCTAATTGTGTTTATTTTGGGATTACGCCTCTATTCATGTGAATAACTTGATATCATATGTTTTGAACTTTTCTTCTTGTTTATTGAGTGTAAGCATACCTGTTCTTGATATTTTTATTGTATAGTCTTTCCTTATATTTGGATTATACTCTCTATCTTGCAATTGAATTTTTTAAAACCATTTGTTTAATATATTCTTACTTACAATTTTGCACAATTATCACATTGTTGCATTCTAAAGTAGATGTTCAGATTTGGGATGGCAAAGGAGACTTTAGCCTCTGGTGATGGAAAATTAAAGCTCTTATGCAACAGTTAAAATGTGCTAAAGTCATTGATGCAAGTTGGCTAGAAAACCTACCTGTGGATAGGAAAACTAAACAAGACGAATTAGGGTATAGTACTATGTTTCTCGACCTATTTGATTATGTAATTAAGAAAGTAGGGGAAACCAATACTACTGTGGAATTGTAGACTGCTTTAGAGAAACGGTAACTCACTAAGACTCTACCAAATAAGTGTTATCTTTGGAGACAATTTTTTAGTTTTAAGTTTGATCCTAGCACTGACTCTGGAGAAAACATGGACAGATTTAATAGGATCACTTAGGATCTGATAAATTGTGGTGAAAAGATTTCTGGTGAACAAAAAGTGGTTGGTTTGCTTAATGCACTAGGAGAGAAATGTAAAGACATAAGAAATGCTTTAGAATATGTTAGAAGAGACTTGACTGTTGATATAATTCATAGCCCTCTTTTAAATAGAGAATTGGAATTAAGATCTGAACATAAAGAGGTCTTTCATGATGAGAATACCTCATCTAATACAAAAACTCAAGTCAAAGGTATGAGTAACTTTAGTCGAGCTAATTATAATAGAGATAATAATCTCATTCAAAGAGGCTAAGAACAAAAAGTGCTACTGCTACGGAAAAACAGGTCATTTTATAGAATGTTTTAAGAAAGCTAATGATCAAGAGAATGGATCCAATCTTGAGAATGGTTCTTTAGCCATTGCTGCCTTTTATAAAGAAGCAGGAGCTAATGCTGGGGTGGTTTATGTAGCTTCAACTGAAAGGATTGATCAGAATTGTGTTTTAGATTCAGGTTGCTCCTTTCATTTGAGCCCCAATCTCAATTGGTTCTCTAATTTCTCAAGACTAGATGGAGGTTTTGTGAATCTTGGAAACATGAGACATGCCAAGTAAAGGGTATTGGCAATTTTGTCATGGGGTTTGAAAATGGTCAACACATGATGTTAAAACATACTAGGTATGTTCCAGCGTCAAGAAGAAATCTTATATTGTTAGGGGTTCTAGATGATGAGAACTATCATATTGAAATCAATAATGGTTTTAGATACATAATTAGATACCAAAAGCTCATTGTAGATTCCCCGAACTCTAATAGAATCTATGTTATCAGTTCTGAACTTGTTTCACCCAAATGTGTAAACTTTGTAACATAATATGATAAATCGCAATTATGGCACAAGAGATTATGTCATCTTAGTGAAAAAGGCTTGTTCTTCCAAATGAAGGGCAGATGAGACAAATAAGACCTTCTTCTAGATTTCAATATGCAGATTATGTATGTCTAGTTTGAATTTGATCCTTTTGATTTGGAACCACCTTCTTATGAAGAAGCTGTATCCTGTAAGGAATCCTCTAAGTGGCTTATAGCAATGTAAGTGGAGATGAATTCCTTATGTAAGAATAGAACTTAAAATTTGGTAGAAAAACCCAAAGGCTGCAAACTGATTAACTGCAAATGGGTTTATAAAATCAAATAATAAAAGATATAAGGCAAGACTTGTAGCAAAAGATTTTACACAGACTAAAGGAATAGACTAAATCGAAATTTTTTCACCTGTTGCGAAATACACATCTATTAGAATATTACTTGCCATTGTAACTCAATTTGATTTAAAGTTAGAACAAGTTGATGTTAATACTGCTTTTCTACATGGTTCTCTAGATGAATCCATATATATGACTCAACCAAAAGATTATGAAGTGAAGAAAAAGGAGAACTTAGTGTGTCTCTTGAATAAATCCCTGTATGGTCTAAAATTGGCTACAAGGCAATGATATACGAGATTTCATTCTTTTATATAGGGATTGAAGTTCAAAAAATTTGAATATGATCCATGTTTTTTATTTAAAAAATGATGGAGAAATTGGATTTTTCTATCGTCTCCCATATGTTGAGTACATGCTACTAGTTGGTCACAATTCTGTTACTCTCAACTTTATAAAGGAAAAGTTGAAATCTGAATTTGAAATGAAGGATTTAGGACTTGCTAGGAACATGGAAATAAAAAGGGGCAAAATTAATGGAAAACTATTTCTAACACAAAAATCTTATATTGAAAGAGTGGTTAAACGATTTTTTGTTTATGATGCTAAGCCTATTAGTTTGCCTTTATCTGCTTGTGTGAATTTATCTATTGATCAATTACCTAAGTTGAAGATGAATTTAAAAGAATGATGAATGTTCTATATGCTAATGCTGTTGGATCTATCATATATGTGATGGTGTGCTCTAGATCTGATATAGCTTATGTTGTAAGTGTGATGAGCAGATTCATGAGTAATCCAAGTGATCTTTATTGGGAAGCTATGAAAAATTTAATCAAATACTTGAAAGGCACAAATCAATCAGGACTTATGTTAAAAATTGATAAAGATGGTCTTGAGTTGAAAGGGTATGTTGACTCTGAATTTTGTTAGAAACGTAGACAATAGGGAGTCTATAACTGCATATTTCTATGTGATAAATAATACATGTATTAGATGAAAATCTCAACTTCAGAAATTAGTTGCCTTGTCTTCAAGTGAGTCTGAATATATAGTTACAAATGAAGCAGTAAAAAATGTTCTATGGCTAAAAGGCTTATTAAATGATCTAGGTTATGGAAAGTAAGGTAGAGTTATGGTTAGATAATCAAAGTATCATTTTCTTAAGTGAAAAATCAAAATTTTCACGATAAATTTAAGCATATAGATGTTAAATTTCATTTTATTAGAGACATACCACTTAGTAAATTCATTGATTCTTTGGGATTATTGAAATTTGAAGTTTGCTATTTTTATTTTTATTTTTTCCTTTCTTTGTGAACAGGTAACGAGTGCAAATGAAATTAGTTATTTAGTTTTTAAATGCACTTCGCTATTGTCTCAAATTACGGCAAGGTGGCGATTGTAAAGATTGGATTTGCTGACATTTTAGCCCAGAAAATGGTTGCTGGCCAATGATCCTTTAGTCCATCTAAATGAATGGATGGCTCACGCGTGGAGTACTTATGACCATTGGATGCATGGTTAGATGGAAAACGATACATACACCATCTGTAGCCATTTGAAGGGTGTGGATGAAACCCTTGTCTCTTGATATTCTTTGTCCTGCTTTGTGCTGTCCGTGAGAGATTTATCATCTGTGTGATATTCTTGTAAATTCTTAAGTAGAATTTTTAAGGGTTGTTAATCAATAACATTTATCCTCATTTGTGAGTAGTTTTTTATTCATTTCTAGAATAGCAGAGAGTGAGTTGAGAGGGAGAAATCTTTTAAACATTTGGTGTTCTTCTGTGATCGATATTCTTGCCTATTTTTGGGCTATGTTAGTGAATTTGAGCGAAATTTTAATGCATGCTCAACAAGAGATTGAGCATTCGATAGCGGTCATTGAACTTTTGAAGCCTTTGGTCGAAAATACTCACGTGTTCTTTTTTTATTTATTCTTACGTTTTTCTTTTAGCAAAGTTGGGTCACAAACTGTGTCACAAATCTGGGACCAACAATTATGGAGGCATGTTATTGCACTTTGTGCGACTTTTTTTCAGTTTATAAATTTTGGCCTACTAGCTTATGAACTATTTACTAAATGGTTAATTGACATTTGGAATGTAAAGTAATTGGAATGATACCGGTTGTCAAATATGGTGTTGACTAGAGATGTGTTTTACATAATAGATTCAACTTTTTAAAGTTCCATAGGCTGTTCTCAACTCGAAAAAAGCTGCTCTGACAAGGTTAAAAACCTAGCTTTGGATCCAGATTGTGAGTGGCAGTGCCTGTTGCCTTTTTTTGTTTTTGTTTCTTTTCCAACTCTCCAATCACTGCATGACACTTGTTGTCTAAATTTAAAATCAAGATTGAAGCCGTGTAACTGTAGCACAACTGTCTCAACTCAACCCCATATATATTCAGGAGGCATTCTTTACCTAATTCTGCTTCTCTTCCTTTCTGTATTGGGAAATGGTTTTATAGGTTCTCGGTATGAGCACTCTATGCTTAAAAATATAAGCACTTTGAATTAACTTTTTATTTTTGAACATGTCAAAATAAGTTACCTAAAAGCATGTTTGACTTTGCTTAAAAATGAAGCAGTTTCTTTTGGATTTAACTTTCACTAATAAAATATTAGTTATCTTAGAACTTTTGCTTGCAACTCATCTTTTTAAGCTTTACCAGCATTCTCAACTTGCAAAAATTAAAGTCCCCATTTACGGATTTTTTAGAAATCCTTTCGGCAGTTAGGTAAAGGATTCTGAAAGCTATAGTTCATGCTCTAAGAGGGTTCAAGAAGTTAGGTTTTGCTTTTTAAATGGTTCTTAAAGTCATAATTTTTCATCAAGTTACTTTGATATCGTTATTAGCACAAAATGTCCTCACATTTAGAGTTTATTGTGCAAAATGTTCCCACATTGCAATTTTTTATTTTTATTTTTTGGTTGCATTTTCACCCATATTTATTCCTTTCATTGCGACAATCATACTTTTCATTCATTTTCGCAATTAAAAGTTGTGAAATGACGAATACATCCTTTTATTTAAATAAAACAAAAGGAAAAGAAAAGAAGAAATTAAGAACTAATTGTAATCATAGTCCCAAAAATTTCAAAAAATTACAAATGATTCATAAATATATAACTAAAAATCAAAACTTAGAAAACAAAAATCACTTTATCTGCTTACTCTACCACTACAGCCGCCGTCGAATTTTTTCAAAGCACATGATTCACATTTCCCTGGAGCTTGCACTAGTGCTCCTTTTTATTCCTAAAATCCGGTAAGGAAAGATCCATCCACTTGATTTCCCTATTCCAGAAATGAGAACCTTGATTGGCTACCATTAATGGAGTCCCAGGAAGAAACATGCAGACCATCAGTTTCATCAAGAAACACAGATGAACCATTAGGTAATGTCAAGGAATCATCACAAGAATCATAACCCAATTCCATAATATTGGAAATTATACTGCTCTCCACAGCATCTAAAGCAGAACTTTCCTCGTTATTGGTCGGGGTCATCATCATCAATTCTTCGCAAGTGCTCTACTATTTCTTTGTTGGAAAATGAGCTAGGATTTCTAATGGCCATTTCACCAAACACCTCAATAGCAAGTTGAGTGAGCGAAGCCAGAGAGTTGTCAATCACCAGGATTTCAACACGTAATCTGAATTTGAAAAAATAAATAAGAAACTAATTTTTCTAGAAAAATTTGATGAGTGGAAAACCAGAAACCAAATTTTCTCCTATTCTTTTTTCATAGCAGGTTTTTTCTGACCGGTAATGAAAGGACTTTTTCTTCAATTAAATCTGATTCGTCTGAATTCTTCCCCCAGCAAAGGAAGAGATCTTGGCGGAATTGCCACATCAAGATTCACTGCCGAACTTATTCCAATTTCAAGAGTTCAGATCGAATTGGTATTGAAAAGGGAGTTGTATTTTTGCGGGGGCTAAATGGGGCGGGGGGAAGAAGATGGATTGATTTTTGCATTTTCGTTTTGATTTTTAATTATAGGGATATTTTGTGCAATGAACTTCAGGCATATGGATGTTTTATGATAATAACTCTTTAATTATGTATTTGTGCCTCATTTGTAATTTTCTAAAAAATTGGGACTACGATTGTAATTAATTATTTATTTTTTCCTTTCTTTTTTACATTTGTTTTAAATAGAATGGTATATTCATCATTTCACTATTTTTAATCAAGAAAATAAATGAAAATGATGATTTTCGCAAATGAAATGTATAAATAAGGGTGAAAATGAAAAAAAATTAAATTTGGAGATGTTTTGCACAACAAACTTCAAACGTACGGACGTTTTGTGTTAATTCCCTCCCATCCCCCCCAACCCCACCAAAGAGGATTTTTCACAACAAAAATTGACAAGAAATGGACCTTACACTAGATTGTTTTTGGGTTAATTTGAGTAAAGAGTTGACCTACACATATTTGATCAGCTTAAAAGTGCCTATTTAAGTGTCTAGTTGATGAGATATCAAATTTTACCGCTTTCCTTCTCGAACTTGTTTCGAGTCTTATTTTTAATTTTATTTTAATTTGATCATATTTTTGAAAATATAAATAAAATTAACAATGAATGAAAAGGAAACTGGAACCAGAAATGGGTAATCGTTATGAAAAGAAAGAAAAAGAGAAGAGATGATAAAAGTCAATAAACTTGTATGTATTTTATAAAATACCATAGCCCTATATTTATATGGAATAATTAGGGAAACAATAGTAATAATTATTTCTAGGACTGTATGAGTACAATTGTCATTTATTAATAAACTTATCATTTACAACACTCCCTCTTGAACGACACATTTTAAAATATCCGTCTTGTTAAAACTTTGTTTGATAAAAATTCGATGGGACAAAAAGTTCAAATGAAAGAAAAATGCACGGTTATTTTAGTGTATTAAAAATAAATGCAGCCTAATTAAAATCTAGTTAGGAAAATTCAGTGGGATAAAACCTAAGCGAATGAAAAGAGTACAGCCACTCACTCTAATGTTGATCACTGGAAATCTTTTCGTTGACATATTATAATCTCATGAACCAATTTCTTGAATGTAGATGTCAACAGTGCTTTTTGAATAAGTTGGCTACATTGTCAATTGACCGAATTTGTTGGACATCAATGTCGTCATTCTTCTAAAATTCATGTGTATGAAAGAATTTTGGAAAAATATGCTTCATTCTATCACATTTGATATATTCTCATTCGAGTTGTGTAATACAAACTGCATTGTTTTCATACAAAACTTTTGGACTATCTTTTTTTGTTAAAGTTAACTCACATGATGTTTTAATATGATGGGTCATGTTCTTCAATCATACATATTCTCGGCATGTTTAATGGATTGCAATAATTTCAGAATGACTTGAGGATGTTGATGTGAATGATTGCTTCACAGATCTCCATAATATAGTCGTTCATCTGCATGTAAACAGGTATCTTATTTGTAATTTAGTTTTATGTGAGTCAGAGAGATAACCTGCATTTCTATATCCCACTAAAATGGGTCTCGACTTTTGAAAATATAATAATCTCAGATCAACAGTGCCCTTTAGGTAACGAAAAATATGTTTAACATCATGCCAATGTCTTTGAATTGGTGTAAAGTTATATCTTGCAAGATGATTTACAGAAAAACTATATCGGGTGGAGTGCAATTTGTAAGATAAATTAACGCTCCAATTGCACTAAGATATGGTACTTCAGAACCAAGACATTTTCTCCATCTTCAAGTGGACGGAATGGATCTTTTTTCACATCAAGTGATCGAACAACCAATGGATGTGCATTATTCATATTAAAATGTTTTAAGACTTTTTTTTCTATATAGGTAGATTGATGAACAAATACTTTTTTTGAAAAACGTTCAATATGCAACCCAATACAAATTAGTTCTTTCCAAATTCTACATTTCAAATTCATTTTTCAAATAATCAGCAATTTTGTTGAGCTCTTCAAAAACTCCAATTAAATTTAAACTATCAACATAAATTACCACAATTGCAACTTTAATATTTGTTTTCTTTATAAAAGCACATGGGCAGACCTCGTCATTTTTATAGCCTTTGTTTAACATATATTCACTTAGATGATTATACCACATATGTCCATTTTTTTTTGTTTAATCATTAATTTGATCTATATATTTCGACACATCTATTTTAATTCTTTGCTATATGATGCAACTAGGGATGGCGGCTCGTCCCTTTAACCCACAAGCTCGGCTCAGGCTCGTGGCAAGTTGAGCTTGTTGCTTGTGAAAGACGAGCTGAGCTTGGGTTCAGCTCGGCCCACGAGCTCGTGGGTTGAGCCAAGCCAAGCCGCTCACAAGCTCGTGATTTTTTTAAATTTTTTGGTAAATTTGCACATTTTAGACATTTTTTTTACGAGCCCACAACTCGTCAAAATGGCTCGTGGGATTAAGCCCCTGCTCAGCTCGACGAGCCCGAACTGCCCACGAGCTGGATTTTGATGAGCCGAGCGATCGAGCCGACGAGCCGCTCGGCCCGTTTGACATCCCTAGATGCAACACATCATGTGTGAAATTATTGTCGACAATTTTTTCTTTTCAATCCTATTTTTTTCTTCATAATAAAATAACTTACTAAGATATTTCAAATTTCATTATTTCAGGTACCTGAACCTCTTCTGAGATTTTATATTTTGTTATATCTAAATACTTATTAAGAATATATGCCTCCTCAATGAGACCATCTTTGCTAATTGATCCATTTTTGCTTCAAGATTTTTTGTATTAGAATCGAACGCCATCATGCTTTAGACGTATTATAGATATATCAAATATAATGTTAATAAATTGTCCTCATAGGACATCAATTCGTTTTGGAGCATTTAAAAT